GCGAGTTATTCTCTAAGATCTAACCGACTGCGAGACTAACCAACTAGAGAGAAAAACTATGACTTAAAAAGGTTAACAGGAGACGTACCGCCTTCCCCGGCCGTGCCCAGGTACAGATGAGGCCCTCTTGGCAGGCCGTGATGATGCAGTCATCCATGAACACCAGGACCGTCAGCCTCTCGTGTGCAATCTTCTTACAGACCAGCGGCTCCAGCAGCGGCACTTCGTGCATGCGTGGGCACAGCGTGGTGCCCAGCACCTTGGCGGCGTCCAGGCGGTTGCTCCTCGGCGCCACATTGATCTTGTCGTTGCTTTTGCTGATGTTGCCCAGGCTGTGGTACCGCTTGTGCTCCTTCTCCACGCCCCCGCTGCTGCCGGACTTATCCGACTTGCGCTCCTGTAGGGAAAGGGTGGCGAAGCGGCCGATGCTGAAGGGGGTGCTGTTTCCTCCACCGGTGCTCCCTCCCCCTCCTCCTCCTCCCCCACTGCCCTCTGAGGCGCCCTGGCCTTTCGAGGCGTTCGCCACAGCGGGGTGGGGCAAAGAGTTGGAGCGCGAAAGGGAGCGAGGAAGCGGTAAAGGGAGCGTGGGTGGGTTGGAGGCGCCGGTGTTAGTGTTCGGGGGGTGATGATGTCCCTCCACACCTCCACTTCCTCCCCCACCTGAGGTGCTGTTGACCCCCCCGCTGCCAGAGTTGGACAGCGAAGGCCCAAAAGTGTTAGTAAAGGCGCGGGACAGCGGCAGGCGCGGGTACAGCACGTCATCCGTCAGGTCCCACAAACAGAACTGGGTGTCCTGCCCCACCGAGCCAAATCGGTAAGTGACCGATGGCGAGCCGCCGCCTTTCGAGCTGTGCCGAGAAAGGCGGGATAACGTGCTGCTCGTTCGAACCCGCCCAAAGTGCATGGAGTTATTTTGCGCCCCCTGGTGGAGGTCCTCCTCGCTGCCACTGAGCTCCATAGGCTCCTCATCTTCCAGGGAAGTCGTGAAGGGATCGAATGCTACCACGTTGACCCAAGACTTGTGGCCGTGCCCCCTCGCTACCACTCGGCTTTCTGCAAATGACCACACAGTAACCAGATCATCCTCCCCTCCCGTGGCGAGATATTTCCCGTCTGGGCTCCATGACACGCAGAGCAGCCCACCAAAGTAGCTCTTCATCACGCCCTGAAGCTCCATCGAATCAAAGTGGAAGACACGCAGGCATCCGTCCTGGCCCACGCACGCCACGTGCACGCCATCTGGGGAGAACGCAAACTCGTTGAGGCCTCCCTCCCCGACGGCCCACCGCAGCAGAGGGTTGCGCGGCGTCTTGGTTTTGCAGGCATAAACGGCGAAGCCTTCGCCCTGCCGCAACAGAGAGTACTGTGGCGCCGTGGTGCCGCATGGGTGGTCCACGTTGTAGAGGTAGAGGTGACCGCTGGCGTGGGAGGCCAGGAACAGGTTCTCCGACTTGGGAAGCCATTTTAGACACGTTACCTTGGATTTGTCTATCAACCTCTGTGAAAGAGGAAGGAGGCGGGGACAGACGGAGAAGGTGAGAGGGAAGGAAGGGCGAAGAAAGACATTAGAAAAGTATGAGTTTTAGGTTTTGTTGAGTTTATTCAAACATCTGAATGCAGAACAAAAGTAAAGGTAATGAAGCTGATAAAAGAAGCCATTTTTTGGTCAGATATGGTTATATGAGGCGTTCTGCAAGGATCTGGTTTAAGTACCTTGTTTTTTGTTCATTCCACATTTTCCCATTAGGTCAAATTATCTATGGAATGCCAGGACTGCCATAATAAATTAATTAAATACACCATTAAATACTTAATTAAATGTGGCAAAAATATTTATTTAATTAATTATTTCCAATTTTAATTAATTATTTAATGGTGTATTTAATTAATTCATTATGGCAGTCCTGGCATTCCATACGTATCAGTAGTTTTAAAGCCATTTTTTATCATCTGTGTACCGATGACATTCAGCTGTACCTCTCATTTAAAACTCCGTTGCATTACTGGAACACATGGTTTTCTTGTCTATCTAAAGTTATTGATCAGCTCCAAACTGTCCAAAACGCTGCTGTAAGGTTTATAACTCAATGGTAAATGGCCTGTATTTGTACAGCGCTTTACTTAGTCCCTAAGGACCCCAAAGTGCTTTACACTACATTCAGTCATCCACCCATTCACACACACATTCACACACTGGTGACGGCAAGCTACCTTGTAGCCACAGCTGCCAGTGCGCTCCAGTTTTCATTTTTTTGACAGTAAGACATACAGGCAGGAAGACATACGGGAAATGGGCAAAGGTGGGAATACACCCAGCCAGTAGTCTTTCAGCATAAAAGCCTTTACATACCCAGCACATTGCAAAAACAAACAAACAAACAAACAAACCCAACATGAAATTATGAATTTTTCAGATGCACATTTGTCGTGTAAAGTATATACACCCTGGAAGTGTCCTCAAAAATATGCACGTTAGGAAAAAACATGAAGTCGAGATCAAGTGATGATGAACTGATTCTGATGTTTCTAAACAGGAAAAGGAAGAGACGGAGACGCTGGGCTCATCCAGTTCTCATCAGAACACAGCAGGGACAATTTCGTGGTTTCATCCTGGAGCTGAAGCTACATTATGGCAGCTTTTCTTACATATTTCAGGATCTCAGTTTGAGCTGTTGTGAGCTGAGTTGGCGCCACATCTGTGAATGCAGAGAAATCACTTCAGAGAGCCAATTGACCCAGAGAACGTTTAGCTCAGGGTTGGGCAATCTCAGTCCACGAGGGCCAGTGTCCCTGCAGGTTTTAGATCTCACCTTGGGTCAGCACACCTGAATCACATGATTAGTTCGTTACCAGGCCTCTGGAGAACTTCAGGACATGTTGATGAGCTAATTTGGCCATTTAAATCAGCTGTGTTGGTTCAAGGACACATCTGCAGGGACACCGGCCCTCGTGGACTGAGATTG